ATAGTACTTCTCAACTTTTAGGTGGTCCAAGTATTCGCGGGCAGGAAGACAGACCGACAGAAACGAGTGACATGTCTTTTTCCTAGATCTACGAGTATTTTATTCAGAGCTTTACCTCTACTTATTTTTTAACGGGTCAAGTCGGCGAGCGAAATTAGGATGATTAAATTCACGTATGAATACCGTACCGTAAAAATAACAGTTATTTCTAAGATAGCGAGTAAGCGCCATTTGGTGTCTTATGAATACTCCATGAAATCGCTAACGTTCATGCTGGCGAACCGGCACGCTGTCAACATTAAGCGTGATTGTACATTCAATAGCTTATAACTCAAATAAACATCTAAACGTTATAGTATGTTATATCAATGTTTTCTTTTAACTGAAAATGTTTTAATGGAATGTTACATATTCGTATAGACCCTTCCAGTGGAAGAACATTGATAGAACATACAATAGTGCTTTGATGATTAGTTGTTGATATAAGCAATTTAATGAACAGAAGCGCTCAACTTTGACAACCTGAAAGTCCCTAATTTGAAACGTACTGATTTTCTATTCTAGACTCACACAGTACTCATGAGTACTCAATTTAAGAAAATATCACAAGGCGCCGCCCAGCCGTCTTGACATTTCCAACTTCCAATTTTATGTTGACACCGTACTTGCAATGAGCAACAATATGACTGTTCTCTAGTTTGATATTTTCTGCCATTAAAATCACAGTAGTATTCACATTCCCAGTATTTGTCCCCACAGCTCAAAGCAGAAATGTGTTATACAGGTATGTTGTGCTCGATAACCAACTTTCAGGAACTTGAATAATAATTTACGCAGAGGGCGCTAGCTTACAGGATAATTCTTTGTTCTCACAAGTATTGCAACAGTCTGGTGTATCGCACACATGAATTTTAACGGCGCTGTGGGACAGTAACCGTCCTTGCTTATATCCATAATTGAAATGATTCTGGAGCCCAAACGCAATGTCACCTAGGAGCCCGCGAAACAGATACGAAATTTGGATAGAATAATTCAATAAACTTCGCGCAGTTATCTGGCGGAAACACTGTGAGGACACGTGTATGTCCCCAGAGTACATAATGTCCCCACAACCCTGGTAAATATTATGTGGGATATCCTACAACTAATGCAATACATACGCAACACTCAGAGAGAGATGAGAGAGAGCGAGAGAGAGAGAGAGGGGAGAGAGAGAGGGAGAGAGAGGAGAGCGAGCGCGAGAGAGAGAGAGAGAGAGAGGGAGAGAGAGAGGGAGGAGAGAGAGGGAGAGAGAGTGAGGGAGAGGGAAGAGAGGGAGAGAGAGGAGGAGAGAGAGGGAGAGGAGAGAGAGAGAAACATACCAAGGGAAATGATGAGTGACATGGTTTTTTCGTGATGTACAGTCTGCGAAACCAAATTTTAGACGATTATGACCAGAGAAACAAGAATGATCGCTTTAAAGTAAACTAGTCTCAAAATACTCTTCAAGATCTTGTAGAGCAAGGTTTTATCTTTCATTTAGATACTTGGCAACCTCAAAAATTGTAATTTTGAACAGAATTTTAAGCACTGAATACAGCCATACGACAATCTAGACGATCAAATCTGTTTAAACAACTTTTTTGAATGAATTACAATTGTTTGCCGGTACATTTTTTTCAAGTTTATCAGATCATTCCATCAACTATTTTGTGGCCATTTTCAGTATTTTAGTAAATTTATATCTGTAGGATCAAGTCTTAGCTTGTTTTTGTTAAGACTCATTTTAAGGTAAATTTGTGAGATCTTTGGATCAGTAGATAGAAGACGGTAGTCGAATAAATCTTCATTGTCGTGATACGCCAAATTTTTTCTAGTTCTGTGCTCTTGGAGAAACTTATCCTCATCTGTGGCTTACTAAGTACTTTATAATCAAACTTCCCGATCTACAAGTAGTGTGAGTCTTTTTAGTAATTCTTTCTAAAATTGGGTTGAGAACTTGACCGGGAAAATCACTAATCTCCAAACTGAATCAACCCACTACAAGATAGACCTCTTGTTGGATGTTGAAGTGGATCCGAGCTTGCACAATATTACTCAGGGTTTTTCGTGGGTTTCAGTAATAACGACGGCGATATGGCTAACAAACTTTAATGGTAGTAAGGCACAAAAAATTCACTAACTAAAAAAAAAACATGGAACCCGGTAATCCTTAAATCCGGAAGATGGTCACGTCACCTGTTGCCTCTCTCGGCGGCGAAGGGCAACTCCCCCTCGCTCGATCTACCACATTTCGTCCACTGTTGCCGAGTTGCCGCGCACCTCACTGAACCACTACACAACCCCCCACTTAAATCGAGTAAACATAGATTTAAGTCTCGAAACAGAGCAGAGGGTGCAGGCAATACCGGGAACATTACTCCAGTACAACATCGCTAGGCTGCTTATAAGCTTTGAGATTGATTACATTTTCCTTCGAATGAATCTTACCATCAAGATGTCCAATGACATAGGAGGTTGGTTTCCGCTTGTGTGTAAACACAGTATACGGTCCATCATACAGTAAAAAGAATTTGTATAAATTAGTTTTAGCTTCGGCGGACGAAATGGAGGATGCGGTTTTAAAACTAGAACCTTATCGCCCGGGTCAAAAGTAACAGGTTTCATCACTTAGCCCTTTTACCCTTTTTGCAGCCTCCCTCTTCAGTTTTCATAACACGCCAACAACTGTATCCTCCTCAATGTCGTACAGTTTACATCGATGCGCTCAGGAAAAACCACAAAATTCCGTACGGGATGTCGTGTCGATCTGTCCAAACTGTAAGTATAGGGTGCAAAACCGGGTCTTAGGTTAACTGCTCGATTGAGACACCTTTCGATATCCGCTAGTTGTTTGGCCATGCAGGAATGGCCCTCGTAGCAATAGGTTTCTCAACATACGTCGACCTCACGATTATAACGTGTCCGTTGGATTACCCTGGGGAAAATAACAAGAGATAAACTTAAGTTGTATACCCGCCGCCTCTAACTGCTTTCTCCAAATATGACTCGTGAACTGAGTTCCATTATCGGACAAATGGACACAGGTTTCTGTACTGACGGAATGTAGTCATCGAATAAGCGTTTGAGCAACGTTTTCTCAGTAGCCCGACGCAAGGCGTATAACTTGACGAATTTAGTGAAAGCATCGACAAGAACGAAGAGTTGCGTCACACCCCCACGTCCTACAGATAACGGCCCTATCAGATCTATACAAACCAATTTTCCAGGTTCGTCTACCAATATGGGATGCAATTCCGCCTTGGATATTGGCGAAGGTTTGGCCTTCTGGCACAAGTCGCATGACGCGACTACCTGCCTAACGTGCCGTTGCATGCGAGGCCAATAAAAACTATGTCTCATATAAGCATATGTTTTTGCCTTACCAAAATGCCCCATAGACTGGTGATGCGCTAAGATAAGCTCTTTGACCTGAGCCTTAGGTACGCAGAGCTTATAGCCCTTATTGCGGCTATCGCCCCTCTTAAATAAAAGTCCTTCGTGCAGCACGTACCATTCGTAAATTTTAAATTCGCGTCCTGAGAATACCCTAACATAGCGAGTGATAAGTTCTAAAAACCTGATCTTTTCCCTAATCCATTCATCATCCAACTGATCGCGCCTCAAAGTTTTAAAATGTTTCTTAAGCTCCGCAAAATCGCCACTCAGCCTCATTAACAAAATTTGCGCATTTCCGTTAGAACCTGGAACACTGCACGTCTTATCCTTTAAAGGATGCCGCGACAAAGCATCCGCCACTACGTTGTCAGGTCCCTTGCAATATCGTATCTCGAAATCAAATTCTTGGATAAATATTATCCAGCGCGACAACCTTGCCGAACGTAATTTACATGATATCAAAAGCTAAGTGCTTTATGATCTGTAACAACCACCAAATCTTGTCCTAGAACCATCGTACGCCGCAAACGTAAACAAAGAGACAACCCCCCAAGCTTCCTTTTCCGTTACGGTGTAGTTTAATTGACTTCCTTTCAAAACGGAACTCATGAAGCAAACATATTGTTTCTCCCCCGTATCGCTAATCTGGTAAAGACTGCCCCCCACGGCATATGCGGAAGCATCGCATTGAATATAAAAAGTGCGCTTAAAATCAGGATGAACAAGCATCATGGACTTTAGGAAGGCTGACTTAATAGCTCTAAAACTCTCCATTTCATCGCTTCCCCAGCGCCATTTTTCTCCTTTCTTCAGCAACTTCAACAATGGCACGGTCAATACAGCATACCCGGCGCAGAATCGATGTTCATAATTGACCAGACCCAAGAACCCTCGCAGCTCTCTTATATTTCGTGGAACAGGAAAATCAGAAATATTTTTGACACGCCCCTCGTCTATTTCGATTCCCCTTGAGGTGATCACATGACCCAGAAAATGTACCTTTTCCCTAATAAACTGACATTTTCTTAGTTTAATTGTAATTCCGGCATCACTAAGTCTCTGAAAAATCGTCTTCAAATGCCTTAAGTGATCCGCTATGTTCTCCGAGTAAATTAACAAATCATCAACATATGACTGCGCGAAATCATTACAGCCCTCCAATATCTTATTTAAGCATCGAATAAGACTTGCCATGGAAGTAGATAACCCAAATGGCAATCGACAAAAAGTATATGTTTCACCCTCGAACACAAACCCAAGATATTTGGTATGATCCGGCAATACTGGAATTTGCCAATATGCTTGCGTCAAGTCTATTGTGCTCATAATTTGCCCCTGTTTAAAATTGGCCATTAATTCAAACGGATTGGGAGGATTCACGAAATCCTTCTTCATCTTTGAGTTCAGCCCCCGAGCGTCCAAACACACGCGAATATTCCCATCCCTTTTCTTCACGCAAACTAACGGCGAAATGTAGGAAGTTCTTTCCTTTTGAATAACACCGGCCGCTAACATTTCACCCATCTGCCTTCTAACTTCATCCCGATAAACCATAGGAACAGGATAAGCCACAAAATTAAATTCATTTTCATCCACTAGCTCAATTTGATGAAAATAGTTGACGACGCGTCCCGGTGTATCAGAGAATGTATTCCTATATTTTTCCAAAATACTTAAAAGTGAAGCCTTAGCACTCCCACTCAAAGTAGTTTTCGCTGCTGCTGCCTGAATATCCTTCGCGCTGTAGCCTTTACTGCGGGAATCACCGTCATCAACGCTGTACTCTACCAGTGGCGTAACCCTGCTAGCTTTATTTTCGACTACATCAAACACATAATCATTTTTCTCGCAGAGGTTTATAGATATTTTCTGCGGATCAATCCGAAATGACAGCTTCGTATTTATGGAAACCCCTTCTATCATTAGCTTCAGCTGTGAATATTGATAATCCAAACGTGCATGATGCTTGGATAACCAATTTGATCCAAATATCAAATTGCAATTGAGTTGTGGTATAACCAAACAGTTCACATCCATATCTATTCCATCTAATTGAACTGGAATTAAGATTTGCGACTTTATCTTCTGCGTTTTACCGCCTATTGCTACAGAGATCACTCCTCGTATGACCGGTAAAATTGGAAACTTCCCGAGATTGCTTAACTCTGAATAGAATTTCTCCGAGATTGCACATATATCTGAGCCGCTGTCGATCAATACTTCTACCAACGTACCAAAAATATGTATCGATATGGTCGGCGAAACCTTTTCATCATCCTGCACTATATCCTCCGGGTCGCTTAAAAGATCGATGTCCGGATCCCCCATGCAAGCCAGTGAACGCACGGTATGTCCCTCATTATTTCCCCTAGCGGTCGACCACTTATCTCTCGATATCTCTCGCTCGGAATTTGTTCGATTATTTTCAGATCGATTACTATAACCCTGCGCATTATTCATGTTCCTATTCGAACCCCCCACAGTAGACAATTCGTCAATACGTCTCAGATATTCCTCTACCGTATCAGGCGACGTAAAATTATTAATAATCATGCTCCGCTGGACTTCCACATCAAAATGTTTTACCAACATTCCAATTACATTTGCATCGGAATTTTATTATCAAGAAACTTTGCTTGCGCCACCAGATTCAAGAAATAATCTGCTCGACTGCCATACGAGTGCGTACCGTAGACCAACGTCATATACAACTCTCTTTGTTTTTCAATGCTCCAGAATCTATTTTAAACGCTAGGCGAAATGAAACATAGTCGGCAAAACAATCCTCCTTAACGCTAGCCCAATCGGCCGCCGAACCTCTTAAGCAACCAACAGCTAAACCCAACTGCGCATGCTCAGGAACACCTGCATCGCTAAATATTTTTTCAATTTTCTTTAAAAATAGCATTGGGTGCATTTGCCCATAGTTTGAAAATGTGACATTACCACCCCCTAACTCTTTCCAGTTTATTATATAGGATCTATCTTTAATTACAGTCGAACATTCATCTATTCCTTTAGAAGTACAAACAGTCTCCGGCACTGTCTCTATTCCAGACATCAGGCCCTCATATCGTGTGTCGGACGTTGCCACCTTCTCAGCTAGTTGCCCTACCGTACTTTTTAACTCTGTCACTGATATTGCCAAATTTCTAACTAAAGACTCAAGGTCCTCCTGCACCTCCTTTGTACTCTCTGCCCTGCCTCTCCGCGACTTTCTGCTAGACATTTCTACAGCTTACCTAAACGACAAATCGTTACAATACTACAGTAAACTAAAACAAGGAAACTTTTTTTTTTGTTACAATGACTGTTTCAACACAGTAAATAATCGTTCATATCCCCCTCTGCTCCACCAGCTATCTCCTAACGCCTCACTGCTTCTCTACCAGCGCTTCGGTGCTCGTACAGAACCCCCCAGCAGCATACACACCCTCAGCTTTCCAAAAATGAAAATGACTTCTCACCCAGATCTGCTTACTCCTCTTGCAATCAACAACACCGCCTGGCTCGTGCCGCTTGAACACAGCAACGCCTCAACGCCTGCTTCTACGTCACGTCGTGCCGCGAAAATCAACCGTCTTCACCTACGCGTACCGTTTTCGTCGCGTCTCGTTCCTTCTCTATCTAACACCTTGCAACCGTTATCGCGCTACGCCGTTCTACTGCCACGAGTTGGGCGCCAAATGAAGTGGATCCGCTTACACAATATCACTCAGGGTTTTTCGTGGGTTTCAGTAACAACGACGGCGATATGGCTAACAAACTTTAATGGTAGTAAGGCACAAAATAATTCGCTAACTAAAAAAAAAAACATGGAACCCGGTAATCCTTAAATCCGGAAGATGGTCACGTCACCTGTTGCCTCTCTCGGCGGCGAAGGGCAACTCCCCCTCGCTCGATCTACCACAATTTCGTCCACTGTTGCCGAGTTGCCGCGCACCTCACTGAACCACTACAAGGGGAGACATGAAATTTCTCCTATACATGTGAAATGTGTAGCCAATTTAATTCAGTTTGGCAAAACAAGAATCGAAAGTTGTCTTAACCAAGCTTTTAGGCAGCACACTTCTAGATACCGCATGTTTTTTAGCAAAACAGAAATCACCGTTCTTTTTGAAGGGTATGACTCTGACAATAGAGGAAATTACAGGCAAAACAGATAAAAAAATTTCCGAAGATCTAGAAACGTCGACTGTTTTTTCGGACGGCTTGGATTAGTCATAGCATGAGGTATATCAAATGAACCAGACGCTCAGTCCAGGACTGTTTACCTTAATTTAAAAATAGTTCAAATAAAATATCTAAGATAAGCAAAAACTTATATTTGGGAGGTTCAAAATAAACTTTTTTAATAAGATTTTTCACATCTGGTTTTTGGTAACCCTTTAGGAAAAGTCACGCGTCGCCACTGGCGGGCATTATTTCATTAAGCAATAATAAATGAATAAATTACCTCGCGTTCCTCAACCGACATATCTTGCGGCTTCATGAAGTCCGTCGAAGCTGCAGGGTTAATGTTTCCTTTGTTGTATTCCATTGGAAATCGATGCTCGGAAATGCTCGTGTAAGTGCCACTAGATACACCTGGCTCCTTGGCAAAGTACGAATTTTTCAGCAATGCCCGTTCTGAACGTATATTACGCAATTTAAGCGCTACTTCATGGTCTTCATCTTCTGCGGAGAAGTCCCTCTCTACAGGTTTTGCTATGTTGCCCATAGAATATGCCGAATCAACCATGAGGTTTCTATGAAGTCCTCCTGAGGCTGAACCAGGATATTCCACTGAGTCTATATCCAACAAATCGTCGATCTCCGAGCTTTGCTTAGCGAACAAACAACCAGAATTCTCTACTTCTGAAGGATAACATTGAACGAACTCTTTTAAACCGCCATCTAGGATAAATGGGAGCTCCCGGTAGCTTCTGTTGCAGTCCCACTGTAAACAAAAAGTTAAATTAGAATTCTAGGGTTTTTCAAACAAATTCACAATTTCACAATACTCAATGACGAAGAAAATAGAACACATTTACGGTATCGTTAGATTTCGCGAATGTGTTGGGCCAGGACCACCTAGATGTAGTATACACTAGCTCTTCTTCCGATCAACCGACACATGTTCAATTGGATCTAGGAGGCCAAGGAAAGAGGTAAATTTGACCATTCCGGAGGTAGACCACTGTAGTTATAGCAATATGAGGACGGCCATTATCTTGTTGCGAAACAGGGTTTTCAAGTGTTTGAAGAGATAGCAAAAAATGGGATTCTAGTATTATCTGGATATACCGTCATAGTTCACCTAATGGTAGCTAGAAGTGACTTGACATCATGTTTAATGGCACCCAAAACTTTAACCTTAATATCGTTCTGCCTGCTTCTTTGATATACTAGATCTCGAGACCTTTCGTCCATTAAACATGTTGGGATATGATGGAAAGTAAAGTAACTTCTTGTATACCTCCAGAAGACGTAAATCACCTCATCAGAAGCATACATTATTGCGAATCCAGCAATATAGCAAAATGTTGCCGCTTCAAAATGTGATCACCGCTTTCCCAGAAAACTGGACATTTGCTCATGCCCAACCTATTCAAAAAAAAAAGATCTAAGGCCGACCATTACAACTACATACATGTAGCTTTGCTTTCTGTTATAAGGTGATGGAGAGGTACATAAATCGGGAGCTTCTGGAGTACCTCGAAGGTCTCGGCTTGATCAGCGACAGGCAGTATCGTTTCCGGCACCAGCGATCCAGAGAGGACCTCCTAGCTTACGTCCCGCAACTGTGGAGTAAACTCTATGGTGACAGAAAGATATCCGTAGTAACTGACGGGTTCTCGTCTTAATCCCAAAAGTCAACGCGGGTGCTCCCCAGGGATCGGTCTTGGCTCCGACACTGTTCCTCTTACATATTTTGAACTATTACAAATTCTTCTCAGCTCAAGAGGGTGATAGAACGCGCCAAGGTACAGTATAAAGCCTTAGGTGCCATCTCACTACCAAATGATTCACAGTTTCTTATACAAAAAAAAAACGAGACTTTTCATAGCGGATGATACTATTGTATTAATATGATCTGTAAATTCTAATTTAGCATCAGACAACACGCCTAGATCTCTCACTTCTAAACAACGCATCAAACTGACACATTCCAGTGTGTAAGCAAAAACTTTTGGGTTCGTTTTCCTGGTAAAAGAACAGGTCTTGCACTTGCTAACATTCATCAGTTCAGTTCTGCCAAAAATGCCGTTCATTTCGGATGGTCAGAGTTCAGATCACAGAGGACTTGATGTGGCACAAACACATCTCGTTAATAGCGGCAATTGTTGAGAAAAAGCTAGACCATTTGTTTAGAGCTAATAAGTACTTCTTCTCCTCAAGACCTCCTCACTCTGTATAAGGCTCAGACAAGACCTAGCCTCTAGTACTGCTCACATCTTATGGGATTTGCTCCCAGAGCTCTCCTCCATGATGCGGCCGAGCGATGTGCCTGCCAGACAGACCCGCCTGACTACGGCCTCCCATCCTAACCGTATCGAGCTTCGTACATACTGAACTGACCGATACGACCGCTTCTTTGTCCCCAGGGTATCGAAATTGTGGAACAATCCACATGAGAAGAACTTTTCCTAGTTCTACTAACCTTAGGCAGTTCAAGAATCGGATTAACAAAGTTTCTTTAAGCTCATCGTGGCATTTAGGCTTCTGCCTTAGCGGCTGCCTATTGTAAACAGACACCTCCCCTTTGCCCTGTCTAACTGTATACAAAATTTCATTCAATACAATCATTTTTCCTGGCTGTTCTATTTTCTTTATCTCTGAGTATATAACAGTACACACAAAATAATCAAAATTAATGCTGCAGTTACTGAGATGAGAAACTTACGAAAACGTTAATGAAGATTAGATTCTTGCTCAGATACTCAGACCATTTAGTTTAGTTTAAAATAAACCGAAACGTCAAAGAAAATGTGAAAATGTTTTCATTAATAATAATAATAATAATAATAATAATCTTTATTGGTTCTGTAGATCATTTATCATGAAATCATCAGTGGTAAAGGTACTCTATCTTGAAAAGTATCAAAAGCATTCCAAAAATAGATAGATAAAACCAAAAACAATATACCATACATATGAAATATAGGACAGCCACAAAAACAATGAGCAAAGAAATACAACACAATACCTATTAAAATAAGGATTGGCCAAGTTAAAAATATATCAATGAATAAATAAGTAAATAAAATACAAAAACCATAAATAATATGCTACAGTTGAAAATGTATATATATATAATAGTACACTTTGCGTCTTAATCGAGCTTTAAGTTTATGTCTAAATAATGCCACTGGCAAGATTTTAAAAGTGTTTGGCAATTTATTGAACAGCCTAATACACATTTGATTTGGGCTGAATTCTGTTCTCGACAGTCTATGAGCAGGAATCTGCAGGACACGCGAATTCCTAGTTGAGTACTCATTATGGTCGTTTAACTTTGGAAACATACCCAATTGACTTAAATCATTATTTCGATGAAGATTATTTATTCATAATCACATCTACGTTCCAAGGTAAGATCACCCCCCCAG